CCTGATTACCCCAGTCGTAAGAGTATGATCAAGTCCGAACTGCATCGACAATAATGATTATATTTAGGACATCAAATGGGGAAATGTACAAGACAATAAAGAAGCTACCATGATGAGACTGGCTTTAGAGCCAATGGAAAAATGATGATCTAAACCCGAGTTCTTTTTCTAATACAAAAATGTGTATGTTTTTATATGTGAAGCCCAAGACCTGGGATGCCAAAATCTTTGCTTCGAGTTGCAGTGCTCTTTTGACTAATGTAAGATCCCACATTGGTTGGAGAGGGGAACGAAGCGTTCCTTATAAGGGTGTGGAAACCTCTCCCTAGCAGACACGTTTTAAAACTTTAAGAGGAAGCTTAGAAGGGAAAGCCCAAAGATGACAATACATGTTGGCGGTGGGCTTAGGCGGTTACAAATGGTATCAGAGCCAGGCACTGAGTAGTGTGCTAGCAGGGATGCTGGGCCCCAAGAGGGGTGGCTTATGAGATCCCACGTTGGTTGGAGAGGAGAACAAAACATTCCTTATCAAGGTGTGAAAACCTCTCCCTAGCAGACACGTTTTAAAACCTTGTGGGGAAGCCCAGAAGGTAAAGTCCAAAGAGGACAATATCGGCTAGCGATAGCTTGGACTGCTACAAATGGTATCAAAGCCAAACACCGAGTAGTGTGTCAGCGGGGACACTGGGCCCCCAAGGGGGGTAGATTGTGAGATCCAACATTGGTTGGAGAGGAGAACAAAGCATTCCTTATAAAGGTGTGGAAACTTCTCTCTAGCAGACCCATTTAAAACCTTGAGGGGAAGCTCGGAAGGGAAAGTCCAAAGAGGACAATACCTGCTGACGGTGGGCTTAGACTGTTCCAACTAACTTCTTAGATGACACCATTACATATACACAAGTATCAGAGGAGTGTTGTGCAATTACCAACAGCAAAATTTTTTAGAATCTTGTTAATAGTGAATACTCTTTGCAGAAAATGCTTCATCCTAGATTATTCATTTTTTTACATAAGAAATCAGTAGCCTAAACTTCTATATATTAGATGTATGAACATGACAAAGGGCACCATAAACCCAATGGCTAAGGCAGTGAATAGAAAAACTCACAGGGTTTCCAATAGCAAAAACTTTCTGACCAACAAGCAAGTCTGCTGAGATACCAACAGGTATAGGTCTTAGTTTGTCTTTTGGTGCATCGATTCGCAAGACAGCAACATCCTTGTCTTGGTCGAATCCAACAACTTTTGCATCGAAAGTAGTTTGGTCAGCTAGAGTGACTCTGTACAAAACTAAAACCAGTTTAAATGTGAATAATGAGGTGCCACACTAAGTTTTAAGTCTAAATTCAAATAGAAAACTTTAACTCATTACAAATAATAAAAGAACTTGATGCTATTCTTTTCATGTTCCCGAGGCAAAAAGAGTTATAGAATATACATTTCAAAGACATTACTCACAATACATAACCAGGAAAACAAAATCACATAGCCAAACAATATGACACAGTTATGCCGAATGTGGCTGCACATGTAAGATCCCACGTCGGTTGGAGAGGGGAAACCTCTTGAAACCTCTTCCTGGTGGACGCATTTTAAAACCTTGAGGAAAAGGCTGGAAGGGGAAGCCCAAAGAGGACAGTATTTGCTAGCGAACGGCTTGGGCTGTTACAAATGGTATCAAAGCTAGACATCAAGTGGTGTGCCAGCGAGGACGTTGGGCCCCCAAGGGGGGTGGATCGTGAGATCCCACATCGGTTGGAGAAAGGAACGAAACATTCCTTATACGGGTGTGGAAACCTCTCCCTAGTGAACGCGTTTTAAAACCTTGAGGGAAAGCCCGGAAGGAAAAGCCCAAAGAAGACAATATCTGTTAGCGGTGGACTTGTGCTGTTACAAATGGTATCAGAGCTAGACACCAGGTGGTGTGCCAGCGAGGACGTTGGGCCCGCAAGGGGGTGGATCGTGAGATCCCACATTGGTTGGAGAGAGGAACAAAACATTCCTTATAAGGGTGTGGAAACCTCTCCTTAGTGAACGCGTTTTAAAACCTTGAGGAAAAGCCCGAAAGGAAAAGCCCAAAGAGGACAATATCTGCTAGCGGTGGACTTGTGCTGTTACAAATGGTATCAGAGCTAGACATTGGGTGGTGTGCCAACAAGGACACTGGGCCCCCAAGGGGGGTGGATTGTGAGATCCCACATCGGTTGGAGCGGTGAATGAAGCATTCCTTATAAGGGTGTGGAATCCTCTCCCTAGTGGACGCGTTTTAAAGCCTTGAGGGGAAGCTCACAAGGGAAAGCCCAAAAATGACAATATCTAGCCGTGGGCTTGGCTGTTACTGCACATTTCTGAAAGCATTTTCTGAGGACCATTTGCAACATATTGGTTCTACAATTAAGTACTTTGATGATGCTTATATCCTATTAATACCACAGCCTTAAATGGATAAAGCCCCCAAGGTAATGAACACACAAATGAATACCATGGAAGTTATACATAAAGTCACTAAAGAGCGTTCATGACTAACCTGAGATCAGAAGCACCACGAATTACATGGTAATTGGTGACAATATTTCCATCTTTATCCCACACAAATCCGGAACCCGATCCTTGTGGTACCTCCAACACGTCTAGTGTAAAAGCATCCTGCCTAAACCCACATCAAAATCACATTCAAATTGACAATCGCACCAAAATTAGACCTCCAAGAAACGACCCAAGTTATAATCAGAACTCAAATCCAAAAGGACAATTACCTTGCAGCAAGATTTGTGATATAAACTACAGAAGGAGTATTCTCCTGAAAGAGACGAACCGTTGCGAGCTCATCCGTCTGCAATTTTCTAGGAGTGGTGACAACAAAAGCAGCCGCCGGATCAACATCTGTAACAAAGAGAGAAAAGGACAAGAACACCGAAGTGGTGAAAATTAGCAGCGACTCGCAAATTGATGCTAAGGGGTTCGAGGGATTGGTGAGTTTTGTGTCAGTCGTAGCTGAAATTTGATTGCGCTTCTTGTTGTGGCCGAGAAGGGAGAAGATGGGGTATCTAAAATGGTAGCTGGGGTTCGAGAAATTGTGAAAAGGGATGGATTTAGAGAGAAAGAAGGAAGTGGGTCTCCCGTTTGGAGGCCGAGAAAGTGGGGAGAAATGGAAGAAAGTGGAAGCGAGGGAAAATGCAGCAGCCATCACTTTTCTGCTTGGACAGTTGACGCAAATTGGATCGCTCAATTCAGTTCAGCCAGCTTTATGATAATATTAAAATTATAATAAATTTGGCGTCCCAAATTCTTTTGTCCACCGTGTACTACCTGCAATTTTTTGGTCACGTATTGTACTGCAATTGTTTATTCCTTCCATATGTTTATATATTTATGATCATATTTAAGACTATAATTTTGAATTTTGTGTTTATAGAACATGAAACTTTTGATTAGATGTTAAAAAATCAAACTTTCTATTACTTATTTTGATAAAATTGATAAATAATTCATAGCCAATTTCTATTACTTATTAGCTCCACCTTTTCCTCGAGTGTTATGTGAGGGAGATTAGTAAGGACGTGGTGATGGTTCATTAGGGGTGGCTTGCTAACTCGTTAGGGGTGTCTAGGTTATAAATAAGGAGTGTTAACAACATTAGAAGATGCATATCATTTTAGCTCTCTTGTGATGTTTATCGAGATCTAATATAACAACTCTCATAACGTCCATTTAACTTTTGAGTCGCTTTTCAGTAATCTATTTGGTTAACGGATGTCTCATGCCTGTAGAAGGATCTTTTGTCTTCCCTTTTCACTCGCTAACGGGAGATAGTTATATTCAAGGTAGATGTCCGTTTACATGGGATGGTTGCATACAAGAACAACAAAATGAAGGTAGCAGATATATAATTATTTTCCAACTGCGTAGCCTGGCATTGAGGAACACTATTTTTCTGGTTTGGCATATCAACTCTAAAACAAGATTAGATGGAAAGAACATTAGAAACTTACCCACAAAAGCACCCAAAAAGTGCTTAAATAATAGTGGACTTCGGTTGAAATCAAAGAAATTGAGCACTACCAGGGTTTTACTGTAGAGAGCTTCTATAACAGCCTAAATCTACTGCTAATAGATATTGTCCGTTTTGGTCGATTACGTATCGTCGTTAGCTTCACGTTTAAAATGCGTTAGACATCAGGCAATGTGTCAGCAAGGACACCATGCCCCCAAAGAGAGTGAATTGTGAGATCTCATATCGGTTGGAGAGAGAAACAAATCATTCTTTATAAGGGTGTGAAAACCTCTCCCTAGCATACACATTTTCAAACCGTGAGTCTAATAACGATATATAACGAGCCAAATCTCGAAGTGGACACTACATGGGTTGGAGAAGCTATCTCTATTGAACTCTTTGCATTGTGGGAGTGGCCCTCAATTATATATATTCAAACCATTCCTCAAATGCTAAGTTAAATTGAGTCACTTTGAGTAAAAAGATGGCATTTTTACTGCATTTCTTTATTTACATTATCACAAGACTTGGAATGCTAGTGGCCTCCAAATTCCCTTTTCATCGTTGTGGCTCACAAGCCTCCATGTCACCCACCATAATATTTCCCCCTTTTTGCTTTGCCCACTTATGTTGACTCTTCCCATCCTCTCTTACTCTTTTCTTTTTTCTTTCTAAATCGATATGAAATTAATTACCAAATAAAATATATTCATAAATTTTGCATCATCGGTCCCATACCCGAAAGAAAAATAAATATTATATCTAGAATTGTTAAAGAGTATGAATAGTTTTGAGTTGAGATATAGTAGTTATTACGAGACCATTATATGGGTCAGCTAGTTTTTAAAATGTCACAAATTGATTGCAAATAAGGCACCTACAACCAACCATAAGGGGAGAAAAAAAGTGAGCTTTTGTTGATTCTGAGGGTGGATTCACTTGATGAGTAAAAAAAAAGGTAAAAAGGAAGACGACAAGGAGCACATATGGCTATTACAATAGGGAATTGTGATGGCTGCATATAAGAATGGGATGGCGCCAACTTCATGGGCGTGGCGCATCAGGAAAACAGTGGGCAACCCTTCTGCGCCTCTGCTTCTTTGCCATTCCGTTTCAACTCCATTTCCCCATTCACTATTTCCCTATTAATTCCTGCAATTTCTCTTCCTTGTAGTTAATCCGAATCTCTCTCTCTTCTTGCTTTTCTCCTCGTATTTGTTCTTGTTCTTATCGTTCCTTACGTTCTCTTGTCTGCATAATCAGCAATAACAAAACCCAGATTGAGATTTAGTCCTTGGTTCGGCTGCTCTGTTTTAAGTCTCTGAAACCCTGAGAAGACCCTTCATTTTAGCTGTTTGATTCAACGTCTTCTTGCGGTTTTCGCAGGTATTTCTCCCCATTTCATTTATGTTGTTCGATATTTCACTCTGTTTTATCTTTCAGAAGGGAAATCCAGTTTTCCATGTCGACCAGATTCATATCTGTTTTACCCCCGTTTGAACGGTGGATGTTGATTTTTTTGCCCTATAGAATCTTTTTCCTTTTTGTTAGCTTTATCAATTTTGAGGGATTGAGATCATGATTACTTGAACTGGGTCAGTTTTCGTATGAATTTCAAAGTAGAACGTGAATTGGCTTGTGGGAATTTCTAAGGGATAAAGAAGGCTCTTGAATGAATGGAAGAAGGCAGTGCATGCAATGAAGAAGAGTAGCTAACCCGTTTTTACAACTCTTTAGACACTTGGGATACTTGGAAGTGATTTATGCCAACAATTGTTTCCTGCTTTTTGTTCTTGTTTCTTTATGAACCATGCCTGTTGTCTCTGAGAATCGAATAAGATTTTGAAACGAAACGTCTCATAGGAAGCGCTGACATGTGATTTCTCTTACTCTTGTTGGCTGAAGGGCTGCAATGGCGATTTGTATACCTGTTGGAAGCTGCAAACTGTTCTGCAGGGCGGTAGACTTGAAGTGGCAAGGTTGTAGAAAAGCTCAATGGGATGCTAGTATAGCTTTCAAAAGATGCTTGCAGGATGAGTTCTCACGGTACAGAACATAGATACCGAACATAGACGAATATAATGATCAAAACAAACTGTGGTTTACTGCATTCCTGCCTGGATCACTTCTATCATTTTGTCAATATCATGTTTGTTGATGGGTTCCAGCTGAACAGTACCTGGGTATCTCACATTTATCGAGTTGATATCAGAAATTATCGTCCAAATATGACGGGATCGGGGAGTGCTTCTCTTTATATCCACTGAACTTTGACATTACACTGAAGAGCTTTGCATAAGACAGTTTTTTCTTGTTTGATACTTTTGTTTCTATCTTGCACCGAGTTATGTTCGACGAATTGATGCATACTTTTTACCTGTTTAACACCATGGACTTCATGTTACTTATTGTTTGACACGATTATTCAGGTCGCATAGGTTAAGTAAGTTCTCACATTTACAAAGCAGCAAGACTTCCCAACCTACAATTAATGAGAAATGGAGAACTCCGACTACAGTCGCTTCAGCGTGCTTGAATGACGGTTCAACAAAATATTTTGATTTTGTTATTATTGGTAGCGGAGTTGCTGGCCTTCGTTATGCTCTTGAAGTTGCGAAACACGGGTCTGTAGCTGTGATTACCAAGGCTGAGCCTCATGAGAGCAACACAAATTATGCTCAAGGTGGTGTTAGTGCTGTTCTTTGTCCTTCAGACTCTGTTGAAAGTCATGTGCAGGACACCATTGTAGCCGGAGCTCATCTGTGCGACGAGGAGACCGTTAGAGTATGTTTTTCCAGCTTATCATAAGTTTCAATACCATTCTTCTTTCTTTCTTTCTTTCTTTTGAAGTTGCCTATTTTCTTTAGGTTGTATGTACAGAAGGACCTGACAGAATCAGAGAGTTGATTGCTATGGGCGCATCGTTCGACCATGGGGAAGATGGTAACTTGCATCTAGCAAGGGAAGGGGGACACTCTCATCGTCGGATTGTTCATGCTGCAGATATGACTGGAAGGGAAATCGAGCGGGCTCTTTTGGAGGCAGTTGTTAGGGATCCTAACATTTTTGTGTTTCAGCACCATTTTGCAATTGACTTGCTAACTTCCGAGGTTTGCTTTCTTCTGTTGTTTCTTCTGATTTTAGCGATTGTATCGAAAAAAACGTGAGAAATTTAGACATCAGAGTAATCAAAGTACAAATCAAATGCTATAGAATTCAGTAACATGAAATGATGTTGCAGGATGGTTCTGATATTGTTTGTGTTGGCGTCGATACTTTGAACACTGAGACACTGGAGGTGATGTCTCAATTCATCCCAAAACATATCAAATTATCAGGAGCAATTCTGAGTCTTGGTCAATTCATGTATTCTGCTTTTTAACGTCGTGTCTCTCGTGTACTTCCAGGTAACACGGTTTATTTCAAAGGTGACTTTACTTGCCTCAGGTGGAGCTGGACATATGTATCCATCAACAACGAATCCCCCGGTACTTTTCGTTTCCCGATCTACAACCTTCTAAATGAAACTAATTATACTAATGTTGGTTGGTATTTGCTTAAAGGTTGCCACAGGAGATGGAATTGCCATGTCTCATCGAGCTCAAGCTGTAATTTCCAACATGGAGTGAGTAACCATCTCAGTTATTGTGATTTATTTTATGCATCATGATTGTTGCTGAGTTTGGTTGATAAGCGTTGCTCGGTTTCCCAAGTATACGAATCGTTGTAAGTACAATTATCATTTTCCATAGGGAATGAATGCTACACATTGCCAAATTCTACTCCTACAATTAAAAGACACAATAAACAATTATATTAGAGACATCGGGTGGGATACCGGGCGGTGTGCCAGTGAGGACCCTGGGCCCTGAAGAGGGGGTGGATGGTGAGATCCCACATCGGTTGGAGAGGGCAATGAAACATTTTTTATAAATGTGTGAAAATCTCTCCCTAGCAGACGCGTTTTAAAAACCTTGAGGGGAAGCTCAAAAGGAAAAACTCAAAAGAGGACAATATCTGCTAGCGGTGGGCTTGAGCCGTTACAATTAGACAATAAAATACCTAAATAAACAATCGAAAGACACATCATCTTACCTTCCAAGTATCGCTTTGAGGATGCAGGAGTAGCTTCGTTCTTGTGTTGTTGGTTAATTTGTAGTTTTGCTTCATTTCCTCGGGTCGATTCGGGGAATGATTAAGGATGTGAGGAGTCATGGTTCTGATTAAATTTGGTATCTAATGCAGATTTGTGCAGTTCCACCCAACTGCCTTAGCTGATGAGGGCCTTCCAGTCAGACCAGACAAGCCAAGAGAAAACGCTTTTCTTATTACTGAAGCCGTTAGGGGTGATGGCGGTATCCTGTACAATTTAAGTATGGAAAGATTCATGCCGTTGTATGATGAGAGAGCCGAGCTCGCCCCCAGAGATGTCGTAGCTAGAAGCATAGACGACCAGCTGAAAAAGCGAAATGAGAAGTATGTGCTACTAGATATTAGTCACAAACCCAGGGAAAGTATTCTCTCTCATTTCCCCAACATTGCTGCTGAGTGCCTCAAGTATGGTTTGGACATTACATGCCAACCAATCCCAGTAGTTCCTGCTGCCCATTACATTTGTGGAGGAGTTCGTGCAGGGCTTCAGGGAGAGACTAATGTGCAGGGTCTATACGTGGCCGGTGAGGTTGCTTGCACGGGTTTACACGGAGCTAACCGTCTAGCTAGCAACTCATTGCTCGAAGCTCTAGTTTTTGCACGAAGGGCAGTTGAGCCCTCTGTTGTTCATATGAAGAGCTCAAGTTTTGATTCCAGTGCCTTGAATAGGTGGGCTAGACCATTTGTTCCCATGTCCCTTGGAAACCATTTCATGAGCAGAATCATATCAATGACAAACAACGTAAGGAAACAATTACAACTAATCATGTGGAAGTATGTCGGAATTGTTCGGTCAACCACCAGGCTCGAGACTGCTGAGCTGAAGATCAGTGAGCTAGAAGCAACATGGGAGGAGTACTTGTTTCATCAAGGATGGGAGCCAACAATGGTGGCTCTGCAGGTTTGTGAAATGAGGAACCTGTTTTGCTGCGCAAAGCTAGTTGTTAGCAGCGCCCTCGCTCGGCAAGAGAGCCGTGGGCTTCATTATACAATCGATTTTCCTCATCTCGAAGAGAGCAAGAGGCTTCCGACCATTATACTTCCTTGTTCACCCACCAAAAGTACTTGGAGCTCAAGACAGCTTCACTGGCAACCTGTGTCGTAGTAGTAAATACTCTCTGCTATGGCAAACATGGTACTGCCTAAATCATTATATTCATTGACAGAGTTATCATTCTTTTGTGTAGCCTCATTTGCCTAAGGTTACATATCTTATGTGCAACTTGCAGCTTTTATTGCATACAAGGTTTTACAGAAAGGTTCTCCTGCTTAGTAGTTTCTATACATCAAATTATTTAGTATCTATGATTTTGAGATTGTTGAATTGTTTGCAAGAGCTTTGAAGATTTTCTCCCTATCTTTGATTTTTTTATTGTGAGAAGGTGAATCACTCACGTAACTGCCCAAGTCTACCGCTAATAGATATTGTCCTCTTTGAACTTTCCTTCAAGGTTTTTAAAATGCATCTGGTTTCCTCTCATATCGGTTGGAGAGGTGAACGAAGCATTACTTATAAGGGTGTGGAAACCTCTCCCTACCAGACGTGTTTTAAAACCTTGAGGGAAGGCTTGGAAGGGAAAGCCCATAGAAGACAATATCTGCTAGTGTTGGGCTTGAGCTATTACAAGTGGTATCAGAGCTAGACACCGGGTGGTGTGTTAGCGAGGACGCTGGGTCCCAGAATGGGTGAATTGTGAGAATCCACATCGATTGGAGAGAGGAAGGAACGACAGCAAGGATGTTAGGCCCGAATAGGGTGAATTGTGAGATTTCACATCAGTTGTAGAAGAGAACAAAGTATTGGGGTGTGAAAACCTCTCACTGGCTGACACGTTTTAAAAACCTCTTGAAGGGAAGGAAAGGAAAAGCCCAAATAGGATAATATGTGCTAGCGGTGGACTTAGGCGGTTACAACTCACGAGTGTTTTCTTGGGGTCGGGAAATTTCTTGACCATGGACAAATCCCTGTCATGTGCGAAGAAGATTAACATGTTCAGAAAAATACAAAGATCTGTTGTACTATGTCAGGACAACCCATGCGTAGAACAAGGATGTTCAATTTTCTTCTCCTTTGTCCACGCTTGTGGCCCCCCCCCCCCCCT